AATTTCGCATTTCGATGGAATAGGTGAACGATAAATTTGAAATGTCAACTTTACCAAGGGGGCTGAATGCGAAAACGGCGCGGGATTATTTAAAGGTGGCTGGAATCTCTGGCAAAACGAGGATATCGGATTAGTCGTTCAAGGGATTACCCGAAGAGGGTAGATCCGTTTCTTCCGCGATCATATAACACCCGCGACGGGACGGAAATAATTCCGGCCGGTGAACGGGGTGGTGAAGGAGGGGGAGGGGCGGTCAAGTGGAACAAGTCAAGAATTTCTGCATTATGCACCGCACAAGCTCAATCTAATGGCTACTAATAGCCCTCTCTCCATGCTTTCGACGGAGTGCAAGATGTCCGACGTTATCGGCTCAATTTCACCACCCCGTCAGTCGAGCGGCTGACGAATAACTCTTTAAGATACAGTATCTGTTTCTGCGCGGTTAATCTGAGGAAGATTGATAAGTGAGACAAAAGGATTTACTTTTGGAACATTTAATTTGGTGGATTTATTGTAGAACGTTGGGAACTGTTTGGAAAAGTACCATAGTTTGACAGATTTCGGAGATGAAATCTTATTGTAATGATAATGAACGAAATAAGTATCATTAGTTATATTTATTGTATTATAAATATAATTTGTAAATTATTTTGATTCGTTTCGTTGAGAATAAATACGAGTTTACGCCTAGTAATATTAAAAAGTACCATACTGTCGATTAATTATATTTATTTGATAAGTTGAATAATTATACTTTGACATAGACATAGAATATGCTTAGAATGTTTGCTGAATGTTGTTCTAGTGTTAAACTATAAGAAAACGTCTCTTTACAGCTTCGTTCAGTTGGAAACAATAATTAAAATGATAACGACGAAATATGGATTTTTGAGGTTAGTGCCGACAAGATGGCCGCCGGCGAGTGATCATAGAGATAATGTAGATTTTAAATGATTCCTTCGGTGAAATTAATGGAAAACCGATTAACATGAAGGGACTGGGAATAAATTAGAGGCCGACGATTTAAAATTGAATTCCCAATTTCTTCTTTGGATAACTGAATTATGGTGAAACAATATTCCGACGTTAAAAACGCATTAACGAGGAGGCAAAAGTTGCTTCGCGGCTTTCTGTTTGAAACGTCAAGATCTTCGCGCGAACTGAAGCTCGGAATTCGCGTTGCATAGCGGAACTGCACCGGGATCGTTGCACCAACGGGTTAAATATAAATAAACCGACTGCTTTTCCCCGTTGGAGATCAATTTTTAAGCACTTCCTCTCCGCGCGGTCTTCCGCCATTACGGACGCGAATATTTCTGTCGCGATCGAAGGGGCAACCGCTCCTTTACGGAAATGTAATTGTAAATTGTAATTATTGAACTGCGCATTTTTGTGTAGTTATACGTTTTACAGAAAGGATCCAACGAAATTGTTCGATGAAGATGGAATTATTATACAATAAATCGTCGCATCAAAATGAAAATTCGTAATGGATGAACAGTTTTTTTATTGCTGACGAATATTATATATACCCCATCTTAATTATTTAATTTTTATAAACCTTTGAAGCTTCTGCATTGCAAATACCATTTTCATAATAATTAAACGAAGACCAGCAGCCTGATGAAAACCCATGCTCCCCATTGCAGTTACTTAATTTGTTAGAAACATCTGAAGCTAACCTTTTAGAAAAACAGGCTTTTACACTTCAAATACCATTTTTATATTACTTAAAAGGAGACCAGTAGTCTGATGTAAAAGTCACGGTCCCCTTCTCAATAATCTAATTTCTATAACCATTTAAATCCAATTTTTTGAAGTAAAAACATACTTCTCTATTTCAAATACCATTTCGATAATAATGAAAAAAAGACCAACAGTTTGTTACAAAAGTCACGGTCCCCGGCCCAAGCAGGAAGTCCTCCGCGAACGCAGCCAGTTGCCTACCGTCCCAGCTTCGTCCCGTACCAATACGACCGCGTGGGCGTGCGCGATCGTGCACGGCACGACCGTAGCTTTTTACATAAAGCCACGTGCACGCGCATAAGCCCGCAGCTAAAAATAGAAATTTGAGCAAGATGCTATTAATAGCGGATGAGTGTGTTCCCACAGCGTCGGCCGGCTCGCGGCTCTCACTCGCCGGAGTATATTGCCTCGCTCGTTACCAGCGGCTTTTCGGAAGTTGTGCCGCCGCTACTTTCGGCCACCTACGAGCCGCGCACCGCGGAACGAAAAGAAAACGGAATTCGATCCTTGTCCAATGTTACGTTCCACCCCGATTTTCGGATCGAAATAAACTGGAGCCGGGGCATCCCACGTTTTCGATTTGGATCTCACGCCTTGGCTCGCCTGTCGCTTTTCTTTCAGCCTTTTCGGCGGCTTATACTCCCCCTCCCCTCTGGTCCAAGATGGCCGCCTACTCTGTGCGAAACGGCTAGCACAGCTGACCGTTGCTAGGAATTCTTTGTATTCTTTTCTATTTTTCTAGTATTAATGCTTTTATGGTATTTGGATAGTTGCAGTCTTTCGAGTATTTTCGTTGTATTTTATGGTATTAATATTTTGATAGTCCTTTATGGTATTAATATTTTGATGGTATTTGCATTGCATTTGTATAGTGGTAGTATTTTATAGTACTTTGTAGTAGTATGTTGATGGTGTTTGTATAGTATTCGTGTTCTCATGACATTTGTCTAGTGTTCATATTTTTAGAGTATTTCTCCTTCGTTAACCTCGTTAGTGACCACCACGTACTAAGATATCTCTAATCAAATTTCAAATAAATAGACTTAAGACCAATCCTACCGAGCAGTAAAACTGACTTGTTAAAATTCGTCTATAGAAACTCCAAGAATACATCTATTCAAACTTCAATTTTCAATTCAGTTCTACTGCTAAATCAATTTCTTCAATAATTCCTCAAAGAAACGTTCATTACCTTCTCAATAATTGCAAAAAGAAGACATCAGGAATATGTTTTGACTCCTCTGGCAGTTTCAGTGTTAAATATAATAGAAAGCAGTGTAAAAGAAAATTGTGAAACAACGTGTCATTGAGAGTCTCTGAATGAACACGATTCTGAAACAGTAACGGGTAATTGTTTCATAAACGTTGATTAAAATGATCGGCCGCTCATTCTCGGAGGCGAAGAGTAGCTGTTGAATAATGAGAGTACCCGTTTCAACGACTGTGCGAGTATCGTGCAAAAAATATGCCTGGCCGATTATTAATGCAGCGAAATCGATGAATAATCAGTGCACGGTGGAACAGGTGACGATATTTCGGGCGATCCGCGCCCGAGATACGTCAATACCGTCATGAATCATATTCACGGATAACGGTAGACCGGTATTCGTTTACATTGTACTAGGGAATGTGCTTTCTGAGCGATGAACCAGCGGAGACAACACCGAAATAAATTTATTACTCACACATTTTGGACTAATTCCCGGGGCTTAATGGCACCCGCGCGGAACGGCAACGCGATACCATAATAATTTTCAGATTAACACCTTCGGGAGCTGGCAATTGGTCAATATTAATCCAGCCTGAACCTCGTTCTTCCATGTGAATAATGTCAGTGGCAATTGGAAAAATACTTGAAACTTCATGCTAACATCGAATGCCTGCTAATTGTCTTTGCGCGAATTGCGTGAATGGATTTATTGATATTTTCAGTGGATTGCAATGGATCGTTTGAATCTGTTTGTTTGATAGTTGATTGGAGATATTGAATATTATTATGTAGTAGTTAATGAGGTTATTGGAGGAGAATGTAGTGTTTTTCTGATAATTGGCTTGTGTTAATTGTGTGAGTGGATTTATTGATATTTTGATGGATTGTAGGCTCGTTTCTGTATTATTTAATCTGCTTGTTTGATGGTTGATTAGAGATGTTGAATTATTAATGAAATTGATTTAGCTAGAGAGTTGAATGTTAAAGAAATTGAAGTCTCGATAGAGGCACTCTTCGAGTTTCTACAGAGGAATTTTAGGAAATGTGAAATGAATGATTAATAAATGTTTTTAGAATTTCTAATTTGAATAAATGAATGGAATAAAATGAGGTGCTAATAAAAGTTATATAAGAATATTTGATATTTGGGAAATTCAGAATGTGGAAGGAAGATCTGAGTGTGGGTGTTTTGAAAGGGGCTGTAGTTTTGATAGTTGAAAATTATTTATCACATTTTGTATTTTATATTCAAGGTTTAATTTCCTACTGATTTTCATTGATTTTTTATCTTATTTTATTTGAAATATACAACCCTTTCATTAACGTTCAGATCAGCTGTCAAAGTGAAATTATCTTTCGGGTCAATGATCTGTACAATGTGCAATAAACAATTATCAAATCCATAATTATAGTCTTCTAAATAATTTTAAACGTGACCACAGAGAAAGGAATGAATTTAATTTTGCTTACTTAATCAAACAAAAGAATACTCTGGAAATTTGAACAATCCCGAATTTTATTATTAATAATGATACGATTAATTAACTCATCGTACAAGGTGTTTCTGAAATTCTGGTAAAATTCATTTTCACTGAATATCTCGTTAACGAGATAAACGAGTTCGAAAAACGATCGTCTCGATGTCCGTTCATAACCTACCACTTCCACTTGCAGTTACCAACGCTTCTCAGGCAAACTTTCGAGAATGAAGCTTCCTATAAGAACATTTCATTTCACATTTTACAAATACCTCTCCACACATAAACATGCTACCTCTCCGATTGCACTACAATTACGAAAACAGCTCCACAAAATAAAAGCTAAAGGAAAACGATGCAAACTGTACACTCGACAAATATCCCATAAATAACAAAATCAAGTAAACACTATAGAATATCCTCTACCATCACAAATGCAGTTTAACGAAACTAAATATTTCGACAAATCATCAATACAATACCCATCACCCATCAAAAATACTCATGTCAACCATAAGAACGTCAAACTCAATCTCCCACAATAAACTAAAAAAAACCCAACGTACGAAATACAATTAACCAATTCCTCCTTATTCTGAAATCCTCGATACCACAGACACCCGGTACAATACGTTACCGACTGGTACATACGGAAAGAAATTCAATGGGAAACGTTCGGCGTGTTCCACGGTGTCCACCGAGCGCCGGTCACCGGTGACCGTCAGCGGGGCGAGCGTCGGTCACCGGTGACCGTCGCGAGGAATCTCCGCCGTTAGACTCGAACAGGTTCGTCCGCCTCGAACCGCCTCGAAGCGTATAGTTGTAACACCCCCGCTGGCGGAAGGCGGCTGTCCACTCTCCCTCTGCCGCCGCGTACGTTGTCGTCAACAGCACTGACGTTCCGACGGACACGTGCCGTGTGCAAACCGCCTGGCTATGACTAGGACGTGCACGACGCGAGAACAGCCATTCGAATCCAGTATTAGTGCGGTGTAGAGTGCTTTCGCTCCGGTGCTTTTAACCTGACGCCTGCCACGTCCCCGAGAGTTTTGCGTTCGATTCCCGTGAACCTTCGAGAGACCGATACCGGTGGTGAGTACCAATCGAGATCGCCGGAGACGCGTCAGGGCTGCCAGTGCGAACCGGGAGGACACGAATCATTTCACGCGCGAACGATAACCAGGTGACGCCGGCCCGTTCAGGGGAAGTCGGTTCGAATGGTGTCCGGTATACCCTATGCTTGTAGGCCTGTGGCTCCACGATAGAACCGGCCAGATCTTCTCAACCGCTCGACAGAAGTTTCTCAACTTTTGCGGGAACTTTAAGAGTGCTTCTGCCGAGATTTTGGTTGAGTTACATTTTCGTTTGCGTGCCGTAGATCGGGGTTCTCGTTGTTTCTTCGTGAGGCGTCTGCAGCTTCGCTGGTCGAGTTAGGGTAGGGTTCTTCGGTTTGAACGGTTGTTCCGGTGTTTGGGCGTGGATGTACTAGGATGCGAGACTTTTTGGTAATGGTTGGGTGTATCGATGATGGAATTGATGATGGGTGGTAAGATTCACTTGGGACCGTCGGTTTGGAGACATTTTTGTAGATGCAGGGCTCTTGGGAGTGCACGGTTGGTTGGAAGAGTAGGTTGATTGAGATTTATGTTTTAAGGCGATGTTTGGAGGAGTTAGGGGTGGGTTGGGAACATTTTGAGAATTGAAGCGTGGAGTTTGGAAATTGTATTTTAGCCGCGCTAGAAGATACTTGGCTGGGAAATGATTGTTTTATGATTTCTTTTCGGTTTGGAGGGTTGGAATGGTTAGGGCTCGATTCTGATTTTACTTAATTGTAGATGTTAATTCCTTCAAAATTGCCACTAAGAGTTAGAGATTTGAAAGCAGAAAATAAACTGCAGTTTGGACATTTTAAGAGAATCACACGATCTTAGTCTCTCGTTTCTGTATCGTAAAATCGACAATTGAGTCTTCAGCGGAAATCAGAATTGTTTATAAAAGCGACGATTTAATTATGTAACATTATGCATTTCATTCGTTGTTATCTAAAGTATATCTCGATTGAATTGTTTCAATCATGCAAATGAAATATATGCATTGGAGTTCAAAGGAACGATTCTCAGGTAAAAAATTACAGATCTTGGTTAAGAATTGTTAAAGAATTCTCGAAACATTGTGCGCGGGAAAACGTGATGAAACTTGAGACGAACCGGATTTAGTGTACGCAAGAAGCGCGCGTTCTCGAAGTGTTGTGATGCAATACCCGGCGGAATATGTACAAACAAAGACGCTAAAAATACCGGCGTCGCGCAAAGAGTGCTTTCTTTTTCGTTCTCGTTTTACGCTCCGAAGATTGATGATGCCTCCCTCGAAACTAATTTTTCAACGTCTTTCAAACAGTATCCTTCACGAGAAGAGACCCAAAAATTGAAGCTCGTTACTGAATCTTCAAAATTAATTAATCTTTCTCTTCAGAATAATTTCTTTGGCAAGAAGAAACAATAAATTCAAGCTCGTTACTGGATTATCAGAATTATTTTCTTATAATCTTTAAAATAATTTCCTCTAGTAGAAAGAATAAATTCTATGATCGTTAGTGAATTTTCAAAATTAATTTTTATAATCTTCGAGATAATCAATTAATCTTGTTACTGAATTTCTAAAATAACTTTTTGTAATCTTCAAAATAATCTCTCTTTCGAGGGAAAAAGAATTTCAAATTGGTAATTGGGTTTTCGGAATGAATTCTAGGTAAACAAGTAAATTAGTCCAATTACAAAGGAAGCTTTTAATCAAAGTTGTTTTAAGTATAGACGAGAAGTTCGAAAAGTTCGATCTTTCGAAAAGTTCAATTAAAATAATTTTCTCACTTTAATCATCTCTCGTATAGATGAGAAAGCATTTTTGATTTTAATGATATTTCTCTAAATACAGTGACGCCACTTCTATCGAATGTTCCGAAAAGTATAATATTCGTTACGTAATTAGTGAAATTAGCATTCGGTTCATTAATATGGGGAATAATTGGAATCTAGTCGAAGCGAATGATAAGTGAGGTTAGGTCGGGCGTTAGTGGAACTTTTTGTTATTGCCGCTAGCAAATGAAATTTCCTGTTCCCTCTTCATTCGTTAACTTCGACGCTGCGATATTAATAAAGCAGATTAATCGCGAAATTGATTAAACATGCATGCCGTACATCCTCTCGATGGGAGACATTGAAAATGTTAACTGCATGGAACTGATCAAATATGTAGCAGCCGACTTCCTGTACCGAAAGATCGGGAACATTCTGTTATTCTATAACAGTAATCAGTTTTCAGTCGAATGATGGATGACGGGTGAATTTCGATTGAATATCACGGTGAAAAATAGGCGAACAGAAAATAGAACGCCGGGGCAGACCGAATAATCACCTGGATTGAAACCGTTCGACGATGAGCCTCTTTATTTGCACATTCATCGATATCGAATTAATACAAACAATTACACAAATTTTCATAAAATGAGTTTTCAATTTATATTCGGTTCGATGATATTACTGTTGAATTCGCGATTCTACAATTTATAATTTGAACATTGTAATTCGTATCGATTAAATTTAATATTTCATCTTCGCGATAGATTAGAAGGGGTTAATATCTTTTTTAATTGAGATTCTTTCTTTAAATTAATTTTTATCGTTATTGTTTATAGTTAGCTGATTTTAGTTTATGGCGAAAGGAACTAATTGGAGTATGAGGGTATAGAAACTTAGAATGATAGTAATAATATAATAGTGATAATAATAGTAATAATAATAATATAACAGAACTTTTTAGAAACTGAATGCTTTCATTGTTGAAAGATTCATTAATATTTTAATTAAACTTTAAAAGTTAAGGCAACCAAATTGAACATTAAATAGTTGTTAATGGAGAAACGAATTATATATTATTCATTATCTTAGAAATTCGTGCAATAAAGAGTTGGAAAACTACCACACATTAATCAATCATAAAAATTCAATGTTATTAAGATAAAAATAAACAAAACAAGTATAAAACGTTGAATTCTACTACTGCAAATTAATTTGATTGTCATCTGCGACTTTGACAAGATATCGATGACGTTCTGATACGTCAAATGTGTCTACAGAGTTAACCGTTTGATAATATTCCAACAAATTATAAAAATCCGATCTTAGTACAATAGTAATAAATAAAACAACGAGAATATCAACTGAACAATTGATAGAATTTCACATACTTCACTCTCTAAACATGACTTACAATACGAGTATACATTATAACTGTTAAAGATCAATGACATCTTTCGAAAAGTTCAATTAAAATAATTTTCTCACTTTAATCATCTCTCCTCAATCGAACCGTTGACATTTCCTATAGCTTGTTTAATAATCGTTATTAGACAAGTCGAACAATCATGTTGAAACATACGACTAAACTTGGAAATTAATTTCAAACGGAAATTTCAGAAGGTAGAAATGGCGCTAAACTAAATGAAAACAAAAAGCAATATATGTAGACTATTTTCGTAATTATCGGCAGAAATGCAAGTTTCTAATCAACAACATTCGATAACTTTGCAATCCAAAGGTGCCTCTCAGTCATAACTCGATTGGTGTATTAAAATTGTAAAATTTCGTAATTAACATTAAGTCTTGAGTAATCTGTCGATGAAATGTGGAAATAAAATACCATTGTTCCATTGTTAAGTTAGTTGAAAAGAATGTCATCTATATCTCATACAAATAAATTGAATATTTCTAGTGACAAATTTTTCGAGTGCAAAGGGTTAATATTCGTACGGTCGGGTCCGTTTGTTGGGTAGGGGTAATGGCGACCGCGTTGTGGAGGATCTAGCACCTTCCCTAATACGGCCTCGCGGGCCGCCTCGCGTCCGCACGGATATAGAATCCGCCGTCTCTCTTCGACGCTCTCTTCTGGTATCTCTAGCGTCCCTATTAAACGCTGCCGCCGCTACACACGGCACCCGACAATCACGCGACTCCATCTTCGACTCTGCGACGACTTTTCGGACGACTATAGGCCGTGCAACGGTTCACGCGACTTTCACATTGTTTTAGATCAATTAGAATTTTGGAGAACAAGGTGAAAGATGCGAATACAGTCGAAAGCAGAGAATTCAAGATTTGTTAGGGTTGATAGAATTTTGGAACATCGAGTTTGAAAATGTGAATACAGCCGAAAGTAGGGATTTTCAGATTATTTAGGACCATTAGAATTTTGGAGAACCAAAGTGAAAAATGTCAGTAAATTCGAGACACTTTTATCAAGAGAAATGAATATTTATGGAATTAAAAAATTGCTTTTAAATAGTGAAATTAATAGTAACAAAAGTGATAAAAGTAACAAAAATAAGAAAAAGGCAGAGAGAATGAGATCGCTTAATCGAGGGAAACAGGAAAATATAAATAATAAAATTGCAATAAAAACGTTACATTGGCACAATTAAATTACTACATATTAATTATTTATACTGTGTAAGCGTTGAATTATTTTAAACGTCGAAGCACGAAGATTTCTGTTGAACTAAGAGTTCGGGTCGGTAATCGTTGACTTGAACTACTTGCTGGTCGAACTGCCGACGAACGTGCCGGAAAACGCATTATTTGTTGACCGATAATTTAGTCATCAGTTTTTATAATTTTTTCCTGCAAGAGGATGAAGATTCTTGAAATGTAAACAGATTTTATTCATTTCTCGATGTTGGAAAAGAAGATTCAGCCTTCTTTTCTCTCGAGAATCGCGCGACAAAAATGCTCGAGTCGCATTCAGCAACGCGCGAAGTCAATTTTCACTGATATCTTCAACTTCTGGCGTGTTTCCACTACCGGGTTGCCCCATTCATGGAGACGGGATAGTCCGGATAGTCTAAAATTCCATCTCCTCCGACATTTATGGCGAGAAACTCAATTTTAAGGGCATGCCTTTATGAATACTCCGCGCTGCTATCGTTACCTTCGCTAATATTAATTCCGCGGCGATCATTATTAATGAACACTTCGGAAAATTCCACACGACCCGTGAAATAGTCATTACGATTTTCATGGTTACATTACTCTCCGATAATTTCAGTGTTATGTGAACGATTTCGAGAGACAACGAAGTTTGAATTCGATCAATTGCTTGTCTTGCTTGCTATTGTAATAATTTATCGATGACTTCTTTCCAACAAGTTCAAATGAATCTCTTTGATACAAATTTTATTTCCTGCTGTTATTAATGCTACAACTAATGTTTAAAGACTTCTTCCTTTACAATTATTGAGAAGATATAGAAAAGAAATTCATCAAACCGAAATATCGATCAGTTCTTAATATATGTACACTCCTATAATTTATATAAGAAGATTATAAACAATTAATTTAACTGTTGAACAGTTCTAGTGTTGAACTACAATAAAATGTTTCTTCTTAACTTCGTTTAGTTGGAAATAACAAATGAAATGATATCGATGGAATAATAGGAATTTCAGAGGTTAGGGCCGACAAGATGGCGGCTGGCGAACGATTACTGAAATCCTCGTAGAATCTGAATTATCATGTTCAAATATTATTTTCCAGAATAACCAAAGCTCAATCTAACTGCTGGGTAGTTCTAACGTTAACCATGTTGTTGATAAATAAATGTTCAGCGGTTGCAAACGAGGTTCTGGGAAACGCGGAATAGCCTCGCTTCCGAGTTCCTTTTCCCTCATAAATCTTCGTGTTTTCCGCGAGCCTCTCGCAATGGCCGACTGCGAAAATAGTCGCGGCTGTCGGCGGCCAAAGAGAAGCTGCGAATTCTTCGTGTTTTAGTCAGGGGCTGGTTAAGTAAGCGAACTGTTTTATTTTCGACGGATCGCCCGTTGCCACTGGACTCGATCGTAATTTAACTCTCGCCGATCCTACGTCACATCTCGTTCAAAGTTGTAACGTTTAATTGTAAAAATAGAATCGAACGAAGGTGCTTTAATTATCTTATGGAATTTCAAATAAATAATGAAGTCACGTTTATGTAACTCTCTCGCAGGATAGTTGCAAGTCAAATAAAATTAAAGCTAGGAAGTATTTAGGTGGTTGAAAAAATTAGATCGGAATTGGTTGACTCTTTGTACTCGAGTGGATTAAGATTCTTCGAATAATAATTATTGATCGGAAGAAAGTCCTCCCGGGGAAAATATGTAGATTGTTAATTGATAATGCAATCGAAAAGATTTTACAAACGCATACGTGTACTTTTTTAAAATTATTTCGATTGTGGCATTAATTAAAAGACAGCGGATTTGTATGCTTATGAGAAATAGAAGTACATAGAATATGATATACAGAAATATTTTTAAACATTTAAGAATGTTATTATTTTATTTTCAATTTATTGTTTCTTTTGTTTCATTTTCTATTTCGAATTGTTATTTTGCATACAGATTCGCTGTTTGCTAATGAATCAAAGGACACTGTGCAGGATACAATCGATTTCCAAGGTAGAAAAACGTTGAATGTTTTATTAATAAACGTTTCGTTTCTGTTTCCAGCACAAACAAAATGCCTTTCAAACCAGTAGAACACCCCAAGTGTCCCAAATGCGGCAAGTCCGTGTACGCCGCGGAAGAACGAGTCGCCGGAGGCCTCAAATGGCACAAAATGTGCTTCAAGTGCGGTAAGTTGATCAACGGACACCCTATACATCGAGAAATATCATTTCAATTGGCGAGGTTCCAAAGTCGGGTCGTTTTAAAAGAATTTTCAATGGAAAATTGGAATCGTTTGATGCTTATGAATAGTTCAATGAATTTGTTCAACCGATGATGAACTTCGCAAAATGAACATTTGAAACCTCTTAAATAAGAAATGAATAAACAAGGTGTACCAACGAACAACTTCACTGAACTTAAGAAAGACAAGATATTTTATATTTTATATTTAACGTATAAAGAAGAAGAGAAACACACTAAGTGTATTTTCTTTTTAAAAGTGTTCGTAGTTAAAAAATCTATAGAGAGCCGAACAAAATTCGCACATTTCCAGAAATATTCAACATCATAGTGCACCAAGGATTCAGATTTCAGTTTCTTTCGATTTAAAAAGTAAAACTATACGGAAATACCAGGAGAACATCATTAGAATCACCGAGAATCAAACGATTTCATAATTTCTTCCATCCTAACCTGCAAAACTAGAGCACCTTACGCCGCGCTGGTGTCATGGCGGCGCGCGCGGTCGCCATTGAGCGCCCAACAGCGCCCTGTTGCGCGAAACACCATCGGTCGGCTTTTTAAATATAGCCGGCTCTATAAATAAGTTTTACGCCAGTCCCGGATGGTTCTGTCTTGGCTCTAATTAGTTTTGTATGCCAGCCAGAAATCAATTGGAACCACCCAGCGGGAAGCGAGCGAAGGTGCAACGACCCGTCTCGCGGAAAAATTGCCGGTTAACCGTCCGCCAGCTCGGAAATAGAAAATTCCCATGGAATATTCATCCGGGCGAGTTTCGCGCAGCGACGACGACGCACCGGGAATAATCATGCGCGGTTATCGCTTTATCCGGTTATCATACTTTCCCGGGGCTCTCGTTTTGTTCCGCGATTGAATAAGGAACGGCCGCCATTATTATTCAGGGCCGGTGCTTTTAGCCGAAATTCGGATCCAGTAATAATGGACAAGCCTTTTATTTTCATCGATGTCACTCGGTTCGATGGTGTTCGCTGATAATTGGGGATCCGCTGCGAAATGTTTACTGTTGGATAATTATTTTATTAGTTACAGTAATGATATTGGTGATAGATATTTTATTGAGTACGTGTAACGGTTTTTGTAGACTCTGGGGAAGGGTTGTTTTTATTATGTTGGAGGATGATTATTTGGAACCCTTGGAGCAAGGGTAATCTGCTGACAAGTGGGTGTATGTAAGATTAATTTGATAGTGGGAAGGGTTGTACGAGTAAAAATAAGTGTATATGAAATTAGTCTAGATCTATGGTAGAGAATCTATTCATGGCGTAAAAAACTTGAGTCTTCAAAGCTTTAAATTTTAAAAGCTGAGTCTTTAATTAAATAATTAAATTAATTATAATGAAATTCATAGAATTTTAGTCATCCACGCTTCAATCTTAATGGCTGAGTCTTTGAAGACCTAGAGTCCCATAAAACTCTAGTCCTCAAAGCTTCAACCTTAAAGGCTGAGTTTTCGAAGACTTAGAGTCCCATAAAACTCCAGTCTTCAAAGCTTCACCCTTAAAGACAAAGTCTCTAAAGCTTCAGAACTCAACTTTAAAGGCTAAATCCTCAAAACTTCAGAACTCAACCTCAAAGACCAAGTCCTCAAAGCTACAGAGTTCAACCTTGAACCTCTAAACCCCGATCTAAACCTGAAGAACCTTCAATCCTTCTCGAGTCCCAACAGCTGCAAAGCCTCAAACAGCATCCACAACCCTCAAAGCTCAATTCTCGACGACTCACTTCTTCAACGCCAGATAGATTCTAAGCCAGCCATCGCGACCCAGGGCTAGGGCTCACCAGCCAAACGACGTGTTCTCTGTTCCAGGTCTCTGCGGCAAATTGCTCGACTCGACAAACTGCACCGAGCACGAGGGCGAGCTATTTTGCAAAGTCTGCCACGGTCGCAAGTTCGGCCCGAAGGGATACGGCTTCGGTGGAGGCGCTGGTTGCCTGTCCATGGATCAGGGCGAACACTTGAAGAGTAGCGAGTGAGTGCCACCTGCCGTCGTCCGACCTCCCAC